GCAAACTTTAATTATTTGTGAAATGAAGAAAACAAAAGGATTTAGTACCCAGGTGGTAATCCAACTACGTTGGAGAATCCACCCTCTCGTAGGTCGGCCCTACGGATTCTGGGGAGAGCCATTTATTGCATTTGATTGATCCGTTCAGGAGGATCAGATTGATCACCTACATCTGATGTGCGGACTTAGAAAAGAAGAAAAATATAGAAGGTGGACTACCAAACACTCAAGCTCCACAGACCAATAAGGATATAAACATGATGAATAACAATCAATTTAAGCTTGTTTTAAATTCCGAAATGGATTACAGGAATCTTACCAGGGCCATGAATGGATCTGGACTAGAATGGCATACCTATGAAAAACAAGCAGGCCAGATCAATAAAGTCATGGTAAGGAATCTTCACCCTAGTTGTAAACCGGAAGATATAAAAGAAGACTTAAGCTCTAGGTGTTACAAGATCTTAGAGATAACCAATAAAATTGAAAAAATAAAAGAAAATGGGAAAAACATTATGGTGCCTCTACCGCTGTTTATATTAAAATTCTCAAATGACGAGGAGATGAAAAAAATTTATGAAATCGATCACATAAACAGGATGAAAGTTAGGATAGAGGCAATTCGAAAGGATAGGACCATTCCGCAGTGTAGAAGGTGTCAAAGGTATGGGCATACGCAAAAATTTTGCAAGAGAGAACTAAATTGTGTTAAATGTGCAGGCAGGCACTTAACATCAGATTGTAGTAAGCCAAAGAGTACTGCAGCAAAGTATTCCAATTGCTTGGAGACCCACCCAGTAAACTATAGAGGATGCCTTGTAGTTAAGGAACTGCAAGGTTAAACGTAGAAATAAGAACAGCAACAACATTTACAGCTATATTTTCTGATGAACAGCTACATTTTCTGATGATACAGCAGTTATCGCAATAGGACGAAATGAAAATGAATCTACACAAAAATTACAAAAGGCCAGTGATGAAATCTCAAAATAGACTAGAAACTGGAATATAAAACTTAACGAGGTGAAATCAGCACACGTGAATTTCACTAATAAGAAAATTAACAATTCATTTTCGGTTCGGATAAATGACGTTTTGATTCCGTCCGCAAACGCGGCAAAGTATTTGGGAATGATGTTGAACGCAAAGCTCAGATGAAAGGAGCACATAAAGAAAAAGAGATCTCAACTTGAGGAGGAATACAGAAGGTTTGAATGCCATTTGGGAAGGCATTCTAAGTTGACAATATACAACAAAGTTTTGATATATAATCAAATATTTAAGCCTATCTGAGCTTACAGTATTTAGTTATGGGGCTGCGCTGCGCAGACCTATATCTAATCTATTCAAAGGTTTGAAAATAGGGTAGTACGGGACATTGTAAACGCCCCTTGGTATGTCCGTAATGCCGATATACACAGGGATCTCACGATCCTAAGTGTCACAGACGAAATTAAAAAGCAAGGAGCTAATCATAAATGCGTTTATCCAATCATGTCAACATCGAGGCGGCTCGATTGGTTGAGAATCAAAACTTTGTTAGGAGACTTAAACGTACGTGACCTCTCGAGTTAGTTTGATGTTTTTTAACTGGAACAATGAGTACTTAGTACGCTATTGTGCCAGATCAAAAGCTTGTAAATAATCAGAAGGGTTAGACCAAAATTAATGGTTATTCGTTTCCGAAATTGGAGATACAACCTTAAAAATTTTTTGCTAAAGTAAGGATAGGTTGACGTGGGTTCCCCCAAGGTTACAGCACATTTAGACCACCGTTGTGGTATAGCCGGACCACTCCTTTCCTCTTCGTCATTCAAACAAACCTGAATTTCTCAAAAAACGACTAAATTCCTATCATTTACATTCGCCAGTTCCGCAGTTTGCGGAAGGAAATAAGAATTAAAGAAATCTCTGCAACGTCGTGCTAAGGCCTTATTATTACGCCGTTATCCTCTAATGTAAGAGATATCAGATCTCATGTGCAATGATGAAGTGTTTTGCTTTAGCTGCATAATTTTTTGTTTTTTCAATTAAGGGATTTCAAACGCAGATATATCGACATATTCACTTTTAAGTGTCAACAAAAAGAATCTTAAAAAAATTATGAATTAACAAAAATAATCAATTGTTTAAGTTATTAAATTATTGTTTTTCTCTTTATTTACATATTATTGCGATTAACTGACATTTAAAATTTCTCTACGTAAATGTAAAATGAAATATTACTTTGTTTCTCTTGCTTAATAATCTTAGTTCTTTATAATAATATTTTAGTTAGTGCTTCTTTGAAGTTAAAAAATGTTTTTAAATTAAAAATGTTTTCCTGTTATTATTTTATAATTAACATTTGGTATCATAAATACATATTTCATTTTATACCAACATAAATTCAAAACATGCATTTTTGCAAAATTTAGAACTTAATTTCTAAATTAAAAGATTTTTTTCATAATATATTCTATTATGTAATGGATTGATTGCAAATTAAATAGAATTGGTTTTAAATTAAAATAATGTTTTTACATACAAGAAATATTTCAAAATTACTGTGGAAAAGCAATTTTAATATTTTTTAAATTGCAAAAGTAGTTTTGTTTGATAAATTAATTCTATACTTATATATTTTTTATTAAGCTATAATTTTTAGATTACCACAAAAATGCAACAAAATACGTACATGTTCTAAATAATATAAAGAGACTAGTATTATCAGTTTTTACAAATAGATAAAATGAATTTTTTTTGTTAAACATGTAAAAATCTTTCATACCTTCGATTTGTAATTTACTTTGTAAAACGGGTAAGTTTTAAATGTAATGTTAATGTTTTTATATTTTTTAATGTAAAAATTTAAGGTAATCAAACGATATTGAACACGTGAGATGTGTGTCTAACTCAATTTCTTCTATATTGTAATTTTTGCATTTGTTGTTTTTATTAGAATTCTGAGCAAAATCAAATGAAAAAAAAGAATTGAATATATTCAAAATTAACGTATAAATATTTTTGGTGCTTCTCGAAGTTTAGCAATTTTTTTAAAATGTTCTGTATTACTGTAGTACAAAATGTACTATAGTACAAAATGTAAATTTTTTATTCAAACTTTCGAAAATTTCGCTAACGTACCTTTTATGACTTTTGGATATAACTTAAAATTATATTTTTTATTATCATTAAATTTAAAATTTTTCCATTTTTAGAAAGAGTACTTTTAAGTTGCTTTATTAAATATTCTGAAGTGTTAGGTGTATGGCTATTCTTATACTTAAAATTTAAATCTTTTGGTGCTGATTTTTATTGAAACTATAAAAACTAAATAAAAATATAATGTTGAAAAATATAATTAACACTGAAAAGAAAATCAATTATATTAATAAAAAAACTCAAAATTAAAAATTGAAAAATTTAGCTTATGGTGGCATTTCATATTTTGAATTTTCATTACATCACAAGCAAAAAAAATTATTTTTCATAACTTAACTAGCTATAATATTGCGTATAAATTACTCACAATTAATATACAGATTTTTAAGAATTGTAAATTCTTAAACGTCAAATTTTACAAAATCTGAGTTGTCTGAGTTTACGGATACTCTACTACGTTTTTACTCTCAGTCAAAGCTTAAATTCTTAAACGTTTAAAAAAAGTCAATTAAGCGTCAAAATTGTAGATTTTTTTTTTTACATGCAGACAGTCTGACGTAGTAATTCAGTAAATAAATTTGATGTGTTGAGTGACTATCATTACGTTAAAAATAATATAAAAAATATTTTTATTGTTAATTTTTAATATGTAAGTATAAAATTATTTTAAATCTAAAAAAAAATTTTTTTTTGTTTTGACGTTTACGGATGATCAAAATTCAAAGTCAATTACGGGTAAAAAGTTTACTAGATTTCTGTCCGTAAAAGTTTTAGTTTCAGACAGTTTGCAGACTAAAATCAAAATTTTGACGTTAAAGAATTTGCGGTAATATTAAATATTTATTTTGTTTTTGCAAACTTAAATAAGAATCTTTTTATGCTTATGTTGAATTTTTCTGTTGTGTTCGCTTGAATATATTATTCTAAGCACGATTCAATGGCCAACCGACAAGTTAAAAACAAAAAATAAACAATATTAATTTAAAAAAAATCTTGAAAAAAATATTTTGATTGTATAATACAACATTATATATAAGAATTTTACAAAATTTCATTGTTGCACCAAGATGATTTTATTTTCTACAAATAAAAATAAAACCTTGGGCTAAGTTTTTATTTCATTATTAAGTTTCGTATTTTAAAAAAAATTTAATATAAATAACAAGAAAAAGATTTTAATTTTTCAATTATAGTTTTCAATTTTGAAAAAAAATATAATTTTAAAAAAGTTAATGTTGTTTCGTTCGAGAAGAATATTCGAAGGATTCTAATATGTTTTTGAATTAAACATAATTGACATAAATTTTGTTTTTATTAAAAAAAACTGTTCTCCTTATATGAAGCACTTTATTGCTATTAATAGATATTAAATGTATTATATGAAGATTAGACATTTTAAAGCAATATAATTGTAAACTCTTCTACATTATAAACGGAGACTTACTAATTCATGAAAACGAAAATATAACAAAAATGATATTTTTAATACATACATATATAATTATATGAAAATTTTCATTTTGCGAACATAAATTTTTTAATCCTCCAAATTTTAAATTATTTAGACATAATATTAACAAAATTGACTAAAGTATTATTTTTCCTATATCATTTTGTCATTCTGTATTAGAATATTTTTTATTTTGAAAAAAAATTCCATACAAATTTTTTTATGCGTTATAAAACATAGGAAACTATATTACACTATATTATGTATACATGTTGAAAGAGGGTACTACACTATCATAAAATATTTTTCATATTAGATTTAAAACAGTGCATATTTTATTTTTAATCAATATTAATTTTTTTTATAATTAAAAAATATTTATATTAAACCATTTATGTTAACACAATGAACAAAATTAAAATTTATTTTTAATTAACAAATTAACAAAATACAGTTTTAAAAGTATATACATACCTAATTAATATAAATACATAACATGAATATATATGTGCAAAAGTGAGTTTAACGTTAAACAACAGGTATTTTAAGAACAATCACTAATATTCTGTTAGGGTAAAACTACAATTTTCAAATGTGTATGTTCCAAATTTTGTATTTTCATTTAATTTTGTCCAATTTAATAATTAATTTTCAATATAAATTCCAAATTTTATTTAACTGAACTAAGTATTTCTAAATATTACTGTTCATAATTTTTTCTGTTGGTAGTACTTTATTAACAAATGACACTATAGCAGACGCTGGTTGATTTGGGGCTAAATCACAGAAAACATGACATTGGTTATCTGTTGAGGAAGCTGAGCGACGAGCAACGAATGCAAATATTGTTCTATAAATTTAAAAATGTTTTAATTATTTTTTTTTTCTATTTTTGTAGAAAAAGCATACTTATTTTGAACTGGGAAATCGCCCTCAGACTTAACACTCCATGTTCGCCGATCAGGGTCAAAACCACAAAATGAAACTACATTTGAGGAATAATGTTTTCTGGAATAAAAAATTTGAATTTCTTTTTTATTCTAGTATTATATAATGAAGCTAAAGATTCATACCTGAAGAATTTTTGCCTGGTGTTATCGGTCAATGTTATTCCTTGTTGAGAAACTTTGAAATGAACTTCAGTTGGCAGAGGCAAAGGTTTCAATGAGTATAGTTCAGATATAGCCCTTCTTACTGCTTCTTCACCAGTTAAAGATTCGGTTTCACAAGCATATAAATACAGAACATTACAAGCAGCACCTTGTGTTAATAGTTGCTTTTGTGCTGGTGATTGAATATCAACTGGAGCAATATCCTAAAATAACATTGTATTACAATAAAAATCCATTTATTTTAACTCATTTTGCTAATTTTTAGTCTATTTTGCTAACCCTTTCTGGTAAAATTAATCGACATGGCAGAGCAAGTGGTGTGATTGAGTGTTGATAAACTAAAGCTGATAATGATGTAAAAGTTGGTTCATTTGCACATCCTTTCAGACGTACACCTCTATTTGTTGGCTCAATTAAAAAGTGACGAACCAGCTCATCTCCTCCTGGTTTTAAAGTTATACCTGGTGGTGGATGAGCAACACGTAAAACTAAACCAAAAGCATTCTTGTATGTAGTTGAATCACGAACCAAAAATGATCCGGGTGTTGCATGGCGTAATAATGAAATTGCTTCATCTCTCGATAATGTTGATTTATACCAATATTTAGAAGAATCTCTGACAAATCTGTTTGAAAAGGAAAAAAATGCAAAATTTTACCAAAAATGTTTAGTATTTCATAAATAATTTACTTGACATGATGAGCGGCAACTTCTTGTGGCTCGCTATTACCATTTGAAGAATTTGAATTTCTTCGAGCTCCATATGTTGAGTATATTTCATTTTGATTTATGATCTCTTGTTGTCCTCCTCTTTGAGCATACAAGTCCTTGCTATATTTTTAATTTTAAAAAAATCATTTTGAATAATTTATATCAGTTAAAATTAAATTAGCAATCTAGATCTGCAATATAATTTAACAAGGATCTAAAATATGAATTAAGTGACACAAAATAAGATTTAAACATATGTATTTATTTTTTTCATAATTAAATTTACTTTAAGCAAATTAAATTAATTTTCAGTAGCAATTTACTAATTTTTAGCTATTAATTATAGAAGTACAGTAGCATAAAAAATTTTATTTAGAAATTTATGTTAATTTTCGCTGTGTGAGAATAGTAAAAATGATTTCACTACATTATTTTTCATTATTGTATAAGAGTACAATTTTGAATCTAACCTCAAATCGAAAGATGAAACGGCTGATTTATGACTTCTTAATGACCATGATGAATTATTAAAGCGGCTTGATGAAAAATAAATTGCGAATTAGCTTTACATAGATAAAATAATAATATTTTATGTAATGTTAGCTAACCGTGCAATATTTTTAAAAATTTATCTAAAAATTTGTAGGTATAATAGTCAATGTATTAACATACACTATCGTTTAGGACATCAAAAATTATGTCCAATCCCAATTGCTTTCCAAGATATATGTAGGTATTTTAATTGAACTAGTTTTCACGAAATTTTTACTTGCTCAATTTTTTTGCTTCTAACTAACTTTAGTTTCGAACAATATAGAAACTTCGAAACAAACGGCTTAGTAAAGGGCTTGAAGTCAACGTACTACTTTTTTTAGTATTTTATGAACTTTTAAATATACAAGTATTCGAACTTTATGCCAATTCCAATTTTTTAATTTTTTAATTTTTTTATTTCTTTAGTATTTTTGCAGTCAAGAAATTTAAGCCATTAAATGTTAAAAATATTATATGGTTCTGCAGATATAGTAAACAATTGCATGCCAACATTTTAAAAGCGTAAATGAAAAGTATAAACTCACACCATAGGCAATTTCATAAACTCAATACTGCAAAACAATAATGTGATACATACGCATTATATTTTTAACAGTTTTATAAAAATTTTTGCTATTTTGAATTTGCAGTATTGTGTTGATGAACAAAAAATGTCGTTAAAGAAAAACAATCATTTATTTTGGGCCAAATAGTGAAAAATTATATTTCAGGAAAAATAAAAATTAAGAAAAACAAAGAAAGAAAGCTGAAACAAAAAGAAATTTAGTTATATTTAAGTACAGCAATTAACAATTAAAAATGTAAAACGAAACTGCAAAAACTGGTAAAAAAAAAGTACAACTGATTTAACTGCGCTCGCCATGATAATTTAAATATTTTTGTGATAGATTAACAATGTTTATGAACAAACTTGATTAGCAACATTTGTTTATGAACACAGATACAGCGCAGTTCTCGCTATAATATAGCGATATACTGTGTGTATGAAAAGGCCTTATATGATCATAATATTGTCGCTTGTTATTAATTGTAAGTATTTCAAGCTTCTATCTTTTTCCGAATTGAATATAAAAGCAAAAACATTTTGGCAAGGAGAAACAATTTGGATTTGACACCTAGTTCCAAACTAAAATTTTACACATTTACCCATGATGCCCTTAACTAAACGATGGTATATGTTGAATCATTGATTACTAAATAACCCTGTGCATTAACCATTAGCATTTTATTACATATATACAGGGTGTCCGGAACTCAATGGTATTTCCGAAGCAGAGTGATAGAATTCATTCAGACGAACAAAAAACACCTACTGACATTTTTCTTTTTGGGCCCTTGTTCTCAAGCTATGGGGCCTCTCTCTGTGAAGATTAGACGATTTTTGCATGTTCCAATTTTGAGGCCCATATCTCGAGAACAAGGGCCCAAAAAGAAAAATATCACTGAGTGTTTTTTGTTGGTCTGAATGCATTCTATCCCTCTGCTTCGGGAATACCATTGAGTCCCAGGCCCCCTCTATACTGGCTACTCCGTAGTGTATGAAAAATTTTTTTTTTATTAACATATTGTTAGAAAATCTTCCACCTTTTAAGTTATTAAATAAACCAAAATTTTATAAAAATATTTGCCGATTTTTTACATATAGAAGATTTAAAAAAAAAAAGCAAAATTGCCTTACCGCTGAGATGTCGGACTCTTAGGTGGTAAACCTGGACTAATATTACCATTTGTTAACCCATATGGAGTACGTGGAGTTGTTGGAAATGCTGGAGTTTCTGGTCTGGGTGAACCAGCATTAGATATTTCGGCATCAGTTTCGGAACGATATGATGAAAATGATTCTTCACGTGCCTAAAATTATATTTCTTCATGTTAATTTTTAAGAATATATAAAAACTTTAAGTATATGTCAATTTTTTTACAATTTCAATTATTTAGCAACAACAAATTTAAAATATATAAAAAAAATGGAGCAATAATTCTGAAAATATGCATGCAAGTATTCATTAAATTTCGAGTAGACATAACGAAAAAGTATTGAGGTGGTGAATTTTTTATAAACAATTATACCTGATCACTCCATATAGCATGATTACTTCTATCAGATAAACTGGGTGATATTGATGAGCTTTGTTCGGATTCAGATACAATTAATCTTCTTGGTATACCATTTAATGAAGAATAACTATGATTACTATTACTATTTCTGACGCTACTTCTACTACTATTATTACTTAAACTATCCGAATTTATGTTATTTATACCATTTACTCCACAATTACCATTAAAACCCTCCATAATGCTATTTCCTTCAACAGTATTTTTTTCCACTTTAACATGATTTTTATTTGTCATCATTTGACGTAAATCTTCAAAACGAGCGAATTCAGTTAAGTCGGCAATAACCTCATGCAGTTCTTGTTCTTCATCAGACTTTAAAATTGGAGTTTTAAGCGTCAAATTATAGCTATTAATATCGCCATCGCTTAGTGCTTGAAACGGTTTACATTTCGTGTCGTAATTAATTGATTGTATTATAGAATTTGTTGTACAAAAATTGTTTTTTTCATTTTTATTATTATCTTTGCTAACACTAACTTTATTTAAACTAATTTTGTCATAATTTTCTTTCATTTCGTGATCCATTAAATTTGTTTCAACCACTAACGATGCTAATAATCTGTCTAAAGCTAACTGCCCATTTATTTTGGAATTACTACTGTTATTTTTAGTAATATCATCACAATTCATTTTACTATTAATATCGACTGTCTGTGTGGTTTTTGATTGTATATCAAAAACTTCTTCAATTAAAGAATTGTTGTTTACTCTATTCTCATCACGATTAAAATAATAAATTCTATCATTAAGGTTTTTATTACCATTACTTTTGTGAAGATCAGGTCCGCCATCGACTCCCTTAAAATTATGTATTGGTTTATGAATTTGTGCAAGGTTATTGTTGTTAGGTTTAAATTGAATAGAAGAAATTGTAATTAGATTGCTATTGACGCTAATGTTACCAGAATTAAATCTAGCATCATTATTATTATGGATATTTATGACTTGGTCATTATTGTTATTTTTATTGTTAATTATATTACAGGCATTGTAATTATAGTTGATTTTATTGTGAATATTATCGATAATAAAGCTATTTTCATTACTTTTATTGTTGTTATTGTTACTCACATTGTTACATGCTATAGTGTTATAATTATAATTAGCGAAGAAAATATCAGACTCCTGTTTTTTTCATTGATGATAGATAATAGTTATATTTGTTAGATGAAATATGGATGAAAATTATTATTTTAGGATGAAACAAAATGAAATATGAAAGTAAAAAAAGTAAAATAGAAACATAAAATTACAAATTAAAAATTATAAAATGAAATAAGAATATGCTTGAAATTCTTAAGGAGCTCACTCGAATACTTTAAGTTTCATTGGAGGAAATTAAGCAAAAGTTTAGCTCAAATATTAACAAAAATGTTTGTAAGGCTGAAACTCTACGTCATATTTTGAAATTATAAAAACGTTTTCTTGAACTTTAGATTTCTGTTCAATAAAAAATACAAGAATTTATTTACATTCGCTTATTGCGTCAAGTAAATTTTTTCAAAACAAATAAAGTTAAAATTATACGTATTAGTTTTTATATCAAATTGCAGTGCATAATATTAAACATATATTTTATTAAAATTCTTTTACAATTTTCTATGAAAAACTCCAAAAAGTTGTTTTGCTCAAAGCATGAAATAAATATTAGAAAATCGTTTCACAAAATTGTTCTATATAGAAGAACAATCATACATCAAAAATTATTAACGTTAAAACTATGTGTGCGTGTATAAGTACATATATACCTTATTTCCTTATTTGGAATTTAAATAGTACTTACCAATCGTATATGTCCGTTTTGTTTAGGATCAGCCATTGATAAAAGTCCATTTTGAGACCGATTAAAATTTTGACTTTCATTTTGTACTTGAATAATATGACCGACTGGGGAAGCACTCAATGCAGACAAAGGTGATAACGGTGGCGACTAATTTGATTTTGTGATTTTTAGTTGTTAAAGAATTTTAAGAATGTGAAATAATGAATAAGTACCAGTGCGAATTTGAGTGCGTTAGGTAAGGTCACAAAAACAAAAAATAAACAAATAAAAACAATTAATTTTTTTATTTAAGCAGTTGCATTAAAACGATAATAAATGTGTGCTTCAAATTTAAAAAAAAAATGTTAAAATTGCGCAAAATACAAATTTACTCGATTAATGAAAATAAAAAAATAAACAAATTCAAAATTTTACTTAAGTTAAAATTTTTCTATAATTATTAATAAACATTACTAAATATTGTCTTCATTTTAATAAGAATTTCAGTTGGATAAGTTCATGGTTTAAAATAGTTGGATAATTTAATCGTTGGAAAATAAAATCCTCAACATTTACAAAAACATTTACAAAAACTAAATTGACATTATTAAAAAGTCATAATTCTATCACATTTTATTAAATATGTTTTTATAGCTAAAATTTGTATATTTACTTAAATTTCATATATATTATATGAATTTATGAAATCTGAATTTATGAAATCTATATTATAGCAGTGTAAACTTCAATTTGTGAAATGCTGCAAGCGAAAAATTGATTCAAGTGTTTCGAATTTAACTACCAATATAACACTAAAATTAATTACTATTAAAAGGGACCAAATGTTAATTCATGCCAAATTAACAAATTCTATTTTGAAATAGTCATATGCCGGAAGAACATTGTGTAATCGATATTTATACTGAAATACTCACACCGACTATTTCTCTTTTTACTTGCTCATGGGCTCGCTTAACAGCAACAAATGGGCGCTCTTGAGTTACAGTGGTAGTTGTCGTTGTAATTTTGTTATATTTTTGCTCTGGGGATCTGTAAAAAATATTAAAATTATAATATATTTTCATTAGCCAAATTTCAATAGGTACTGAAATAAGTATTTATATTTTAAAGTAATTTTACGAATATTATAACGACCTTTACTGTTTTACTCATTTTTACTGTTTTACTCATTCTGTCCGTTCGTCTGTCCGTGTGTCTGTTCGCAAAACTTCTACACCTTTGAAGACAGAAAGCAGAAACTTAGACTTTTACTAGAAACTTATTTCCATAAATGAAAATTTTTACTTATTCCCTCCTCCTCTCCTCTAACAGTTGTAGCACTTTAAATTCCTAAAAATCCCATTTTTCAACTATTTATTGCAGCGAAACCATAAACACTTTTCAAATTTTGCAAACGCAAAACTAGTGACTGGTTTCTGTTACCACGGCATACCATTGTTGAACTTTAGAAAAAAAAAAAAACAAAAAAAAGCGCTATCTAAAATCATTATCTAAAATCCGTTTTTTTTTTTCAAAATTTGCAGAAGGATAACTGTAAATACCATGCCATTAAAAAATATAATTATTTTTCCCAACTCACGCAATTAATCCTTAAATTCGAGTATTATATTAACTCCTCTTAAATTTTTTTTTTGTTTAATTTCAAAGACTACATACATTGGTCATCCTACCCAATAAAGTAAGAAATTTTAATATTGTAGTACTATATTGCCATATTGTTTTTGAAATCAGTATTTTCACAAGTCTATAACGAATGCTTATAATTACAACCAGCCGTTTCTAGTACTTGTAGGATCGCACCCCAATTCATATAAGGTGTATATGGACGCTTCTAAAACTACGGAGGGGGTAGCAAACGATGCAGTTGATGAACAAAAATTGTTCATTAGGAAAAAGATATTGCAGCAAATGTTAAACTTTATAATATGGAAATCGCTGCCTTTAAACGAGGCACTTCTGTACTGTAATAGGGCTGATCATGAATCAATAATAATATTTTCAGATAGTCTTTTCGTAAAGAAAGATCTGTAAAAGAAAATTAAGTTTATATATGTTACCTTGCCGTATACGGTGTCTGAACATGCAATGGTCGTCGATAATCAACTTCATCACCAAAAGCAGCAGTATCACTAGCGTAACCGTCATAACGAACTACTCTGGATCTATAAATTCCAAGAAAAGCGTATTTTACTTACATTCAAAACAAATTTTACAAAAATGCTTTTACTTTTGAGGTCTATTCCTGATTTCGGCATGAATATCTTCAAAATATCTTCGCTCATCTTTCAGTTGTTGATCTTTTTTCGCACGTAGCTTTTGCTGTTGCAGCTGTAACCATGATTGGCCAGATAGTCTAAAAAATATTTAATTGTGCATAAAATCAATTGTATCTATCTAACAATATGTAGATTTACATACATATATATGTAACTTATTTAGTTATGGTTACTTTACCACTTCTAATAAAAACAGATTAGTTGTATTAAAATGTCAAATTTCGGAACAAAAAATCTAAGAGAAAAGGTACGCAATAGATTTCTATTTAATTTTTATAATGTATTTTTAAAGGTGAGATTATTTTATTTTTTCGCCTATAAAGTATGGGGAAAAATATTAAGGCGAACCTAAAATTTCTGTAATTCATTCCAGTACAAGGTGAAATAAATGGTGTATCCATATATAGCTTTGTAAAATAATAAAAATTAATTATTAAAAAAATAAATAATATTAGATATTATTCAATAAATGACATAAATATAAATTATTAATATTTTACTTTTATTTCAATCTTGTCTCCACAAATATAAAACACATACTTCCTTTGAATATACATACACACGTATTGGTAATAGTTATATTTCATAAAGGATGAATCAGTATGCTAATACAAATTTTACAGTATACAAATTTTTCTTTTTTTCTAGTATAAATTTCGCGAAAATTCGTTAAAATCCCTGTACTTCGGGCACCCCTGAGATTTGGCACCCAATCCGGAACAAAAGTTTTACCTATTTTTGATCACTTAACCAATGGCATATGATGTTGTATACTTTTCTGATTGCCCTGTATAAACATTACATGAAATTTCAAACTCATATCTATTGCTTTCATACATTCGAATATTTTTATTTAACTTTTATGAAATGAAAAACAAATTTTGTTTTTATTAAAATAAAAATTTAGATAACTTAAAAGCAAACGAAAACTAACGTTGTAGAACGAGTCGAACTACTTGTAAAATAGATATACTTTGCTATGTACTTCATTTGACTGGAAGAGCTTTTAATTTTTTGTAATTAAAAAAAACACCAATAAGTAAACTGAAAATACTTGTTGCACAACATTTGATCTGGAAGCATGTTTAGCAACATAAAATTTTGTTATTATACATTTCAACATTATTAAATATAATTTATTATTATTTAAAATTAATTCTTTTAATTTACAATTTGCTATCATCTCAGGTTTTTTATAAAATTTTTCTACAAAAAAAATAGAAATTCTAAAAATATCAGGGAATTTCTAATCCTTAATGAAATAGATTAACAAAATTGTCTTTTTTTTGGTACGACTTTCCGAATAAAAGAAGTATCGTAGGTATTTTTCTAGTTAGATAAAAACTGATTTCTCTTTAGTGTACAAGTACAAGTGTTTGAAAGATATGTGCTTAATGCAATTAAATATATGTATGTATGTGTCTACTTAAGTTAAGCTTTCAATAAGGTAATATTAGTAATATGAAGGTGGACAACTTAAAGTTTCATATAAATATCGTATAACTTTTACAAATCGCTTACTTTTTATTATTACGTGTTACTAAGAGTAGTTTTTACCAAATTTGTAAGATTTGATTAAGAAAAATCGTTATATTGTGGTGAGATAAAAATCTGTTTCAGTTGTTTTTTGTAATTAAAAAACGTATTTTATATATTATATATATTATATACATATATATTATACGAGCATATATGAACATATTTGTGTGCCCCTCCATGTATACAGGGTATTTGGTATAAGACGCCAAACAGTTTCAGCGATGATTCTTTGATCAATTTCCAGCAAAAAATTGTATGAGTGCGGGACTCATTTTCGAGCTACATCATGTTGAAAAAAAAACTGAATCTGTGGTACCAGATTTTTCCGGTCTATAAATAAATGCTTATAACTTCGGAACCATGAGACACAGAGTAACCATAAGGGGCTGGTTTCACAGGCAATTGACTCTTAATTTTCTGTCTAACAATCAATTTGATTTGAGTCATAGTTTTCGAGATAACGCTCGTTAAAATCAGAATTTTTGTTTTTTTTTTTTTTATTTTTTTAAAATATCTCGAAAATTTGTTTTATTCTTTTTTAACTTTTTCGATGCGCTACAATTATTAAGCGCTGATATCAGCATCGCGATGGGGCATAAAAGTTAACCTTATTGATAAATCACTCTGTATATATATATAGGTGATACATACATTTATAATTATATCTTTACAGCAAGTACTCTACGTATTTTTTAGTTTTCTGCATATTATAACAAACTCGTGCAGCTACATTTACAAATATAATTTAAAAATCGACTAATACTATTATTAATATTACTTTATATTGTTTCATTTACATAATATTAGATAGGTAAGTATATGTATTTCGCTTTTAACCTGAACTACCCACACTATTTTTTTTGTCCATAAATACCATTTCTCAATATATTTGTTTTCCTTGTTTTTTGTTGATTGTTTTCGCTGTCTCTTTATTACACATATACACACATGTATAGATATTTCTAACAAATTTTTTTATTAATCTTACAAAGTCGTTTTCAAATCTCATCAATAAATCAAGGTCTACCTTTGTTTCGTATTTTAATAGGCCAAAAAAAAGGTATCCCTGCAAATGGCAATATTTAAAAAAAACAATGTAACATAAACCTTATGTTATATGTTGCTTTTGTAAGAATTCGTGGTGTAATTTTGTTGCTTCAGACTTTTCTGCGCATTATATCCGATGAAAAACCAAAATTGCAAATTCATATATATTTGTACATATTTAAGTAAATAGAAGGATTATTTAACATTTAATATAATATTGCGAAATGCAATGAAAAAAGTTTTACTACAGTTTAACTGAAGCGTGCGTACCGTAGTGAAACTTAAACAAGTAAAAACGTTTCAGTCGGTATAAACCGATTGAATTATACGCTGCACCTTTCGTCGTTGTATAGCAATTACTCAAACCTGTGAAACCATTCTATAACCTGTGAAACCATTCTATAGAAACTTCACGGATATGTCTGACCTATAACTGGACACACAACTGCAAAGTTTCATGAATCTGATTTTATTATTTTTCCAAATATTTTAAATTAGCTTTTGAAGTTGTATGGCAGGTACCCGAACCTGTCAAGCAATTCCACTAAAACTTCAGAAATATATCTGACCTATAATTGGACACATGACTGACAAGTTTCATGAATTTGACTTTATTATTTTTCCGAATATAAAAAATTTGCTTTTGGAGTTGTATGGCAGCCACCCGAACCGGTGGAGCTATCCCATTAAAATTTTTAGAGCATATGTAGAATATAACTGGACACATGTATACAAAATTTTATATTTGTACCTTTATTAGTTTTTGAAATATTTAAAATAAACTCTTTGAGTTTTATGGCAGCTACCCGAACCCGTTGTCCGAATTGGTCCAATAACAATAGGGTTCATCCTTGGCACAAAAGAAACAACTTGTGAAAGTTTGGCGTCGATTGCATTATTTATTTTGAGTTGTCGTGCGATCGGACGGACAGAGGGACGGACGGACATGTCTAAATCAACGCAGAATTTTACGCTGAGCAAGAATATATATATATGTCCATACCGCAGATGACTCCTTCAAGTAGTTACAAACTCCATACCAAAGATAATATATCCTTCACGAAGTGCAGAGTATAAAAAACGAGTACATTGTAAAAAAATCTGATGTGATCAGCACATAACCGACCCCAATGTGTATTGTCTATTTAAGTGAAAGTGTTACAGAATATTATAAAAATGTCTCTTAAATACTACTTTTCAATTTTTAGGACATTAGTAAGCTTATAGTTAACATACCTAGAAAAATGTAAATTTGGCTCTTAGTAGAGTTTCGCTTTGTGCTACCCGAATTCACTGAAATGCTCGCCAGTTGGTTTCGGTAACAACCAGAACTCAAATATCAAATTTCAAGAAATTCCTTTAATTCGTTCCGTAGATATGGTTAAAAATGTAAAATCGGCCCGCAGATCAGTTTTCGAGCCCTCATCTTTCCAAAAAATTTATATATTCATTGTTCTAATACGATGAATTTAAACATTAAATTTCAATGAAATCGGTTGGTTATTTCTCTTTATATACGTCCAGTTGCTGACGCCTGATTTTTTCCAAAAGTTAGAAGGTTTCGCGGACGATCGATCTGAGCTTATATATGAAATTTCAAGTAAATCGGGTGAATATTTTCTTCAAAATGGTGAAAAATGTAAAACAGGCCTGCTAAAAAGTGCAGTTCCCGAGGTCTGATATATCCCAAAAGCTGATCAATCCGTGCCAAGGTGGAAATAAACTTACATATAAAATTTCATCAAAATCGGTTGAGCCGAACTTGAGATACACGCGTGCATACACAAAGCGACAGGTTGTTAAAAATAGTTTATTTACACTTCCCTACTATGGAGAAGGTCATTCCCACCGAAAACTCGATATGCAAAATTTGTTACCATCACATCATCTACCTATTGTTTACACAATACGGTCGGTAAAAAAATGCAAAGTATTTTAAACATTTTCATTCACTACATCACCAGTTGAAGGGTATACGAGTATACATACAAGAAACAATTTAATTTTGTTTTTTGAAATTTTTGTAGCAAAATTCAAAAATAAATTTCTTTGATGCAGTTAAATTTTTTATTTGAATAACCAAAACAAAGTTAAGTTAACAAATAACCTAAAAAAAAGTTAAAACTATTTTTAGCAATTTTTAGAAAAATTTTAAACAGAATTGCAAAATCCAACTTTGTATAAATTTTTATTCTACAATATGAATCACAGGTACGATGTAGTACCGCTTTGCATACAACAAGGAAGGTTATGTGATGGCAACAAATTTTGCAAATATTGAGTTTTCGGTGGGAACGCACTTCTTATGATAAGAAGCGTAAATAAACTATTTTGAGAGAGTGGTCGGTCTATCTGCCTGTGTGCACGCGTCTATCTCAAGCTCGGCTGAGCCGATTTTCCTTAAATTTTACATATGGGTTTTTTTTTTCTATATCACGAATTGATCAACTTTTGGGATATATCAGACTTTGGGAACTAGACTGTTTTGCGG